TGTGCGACTCGTTCAGATCATGGGCTAGGACAAAAGAAAGAAAACAATTGATCCAGTATCAACGATCAGTACCAGTGAATAGGATAGAATGGAAGAACTCCAGTCAATATCTAAAAATAAAAAAGATCTATCCTTCTCTTCTATTATGGTATCAAATGTATGGTTTCCGTTGGTGCAAATCCAATCACCTCAATTTAAAAATTTTAAATTTAAGATGAGAAAGAATTCTCCATTGATAGCAAATGGTATCCATTAAGCAGGGGAAATCCTATTTTAAAAAGCAGAAAAATTTTGCCTTACTCTTGCAAGAACGGACTAACAGGGTCAGCTACCCAGCTAATCTTCATAATTAAATACCGTTACTGTATAAGTGGATCTCGTTGTGAAAGACCTAGTACTGGATAATTTTGGGTAGAGCCAAAGAGTTTGAACTGTACAAGTTAACAATAACATTGATTAAATGAAAGAAAGAAGGGCTCCGGTGTATAGAGAAGACCTCACCGTTTAAGAAGTAACCATAGAAACGATGGAACCCACTATATCCATTTATATTTATTACTTTTTTATTTACTATGTGTTTTTCTAGTATCAATACAATTTTTTTTTATAGGTGAAATGCCTAGAAAAAAAGAAAAAATCGTGGTCGGGAAGGTTATAATAGCAAAAGCCATTGGAATTTTTATTTTATACATTGGAAGAATCCGTTTTGTTATTAATAGACTAGGACACGGGAAGAGAATAACTGAAAGAAAGGAAATCGATTAGTTATTCATCAAAGTTTCATTTATTCAATGACCAGAATTAAACGAGGGTATATAGCTCGAAGACGTAGAACAAAAATCCGTTTATTTGCATCAACCTTTCGAGGGGCTCATTCAAGACTTACTCGTACTATTACTCAACAGAAAATAAGAGCCTTGGTTTCGGCTCATCGGGATAGAGGTAGACAAAAGAGAGATTTTCGTCGTTTGTGGATCACTCGGATAAATGCAGTAATTCGCGAGAATAAAGTATACTTTAGTTATAGCAAATTAATACACAATCTGTACAAGAGACAGTTGCTTCTTAATCGTAAAATACTTGCACAAATAGCTATATTAAATAAGAGTTGTCTTTATATGATTTCCAATGAGATCATAAAATAAAGAGATTGGAAGGAATCCGTTGGAATAGTTTAAATGGAGTTCCCTGGAGAATGAACTCTGGGAAGGTAGAGTAGAAATTAGTATGATAAAATATGATAAAGTCATCAAAATGAAGAAACACGTTCAATAAAAAATATTTATTCTTCTCCAATTTTTTTTTTTTTCTTACGAGTTGACTCGCTTCTTTCAAATTGTTTCTCATTATTAAGAAAAGGTAACAGAGATAAAATACGAGCTTGTTTTATAGCAATAGTAATTAATCGTTGTTGTTTTAAGGTCAACCTATTTACCCGTCTAGATAATATTTTTCCTTGTTCGCTAATAAATCGACTAATTAAACTCATGTTTCTATAATCAATTCGATCCCCCGATTGGATCGGAGGCAAACGCCTACGAAAAGATCGCTTGGATTTAAGAAGGATTCGCTTGGATTTATCCATGGTTTGTTTATTCCTTATCCTGAAAATCCCAATCCTATTTCTTAATTCTACATCATGTTTGATCCGATCGAAATAGGATTGGGTTTGTTTATATTTAAATAAATATATGTTATATATAATATGTAATTTTTCATCTTCCTTGGAAGACTGACACACGAGCGGTCGGTTCGATCTATTTCTTTATCTCCCCATGAATCGTATGTTTGTAACAACAGGGACAGAATTTTCTCAATTCCAATCGACCGGGCGTATTGTGTCGATTCTTTTGAGTAATATATCTGGAAATGCCCCTTGATTCCTTATTAACACGATTTCGAAGACAACTGGTACATTCCAAAATAACGGTTACTCGGACATCTTTACCCTTGGCCATGAACCTCCTTTGGTTTATGATTCACTCAATTCTTTAATTTTCCGATCCGAAGCAAGGAAGAATAAAGGACAAAAAAAAAAAATAGAAGCAGGTAACTCGAAATCAAATTATAAAAGAAAGATTTCGTTGAAATCAATATAGTAATAATAAGTAATATAATGATTTCTAACTATATTTATAATTAAGAATTGCCGTACAGTATTTTCAGTTAAGTATCTTGTATGATATTGTTGCCCCAACCATCACATTTTTATTTCCACTCTATTATTAATATTAATTTAATTTGAGCCTGGGCCCGAGTTCATAGTTTCACTGAGGGCGAAACCGCTTTTTCTTTGTTTTTTTTTTAGAATAACTTATTCTAAAAAAAAAACAAAGAAAAAAAGAAGGCAAGGGTAGGGATTAGTTACAGAGATTTGATTGTATCTCTAATCTTCTTCCCCCTTCTCATATCAATAACTAAAATGAAAAAAAGGGGAATATCAACGCATCCGGAAAAAAACGATTGATCTCTATCAATAAACCTGCCAAAGACCCGAACCATAAAGCACTTACTACCGGTGCCACGGAGAGATATGTTTTTAGATCTCGCATTTTAAAAACTCCTCTTTCTTTATTCGTTATTGTAATTTTATTGTAATTTGTAATACATAATGGTAATACATATATGACCAGATGTGTATATGTAGTTAATGACTGACCGCCTGTATTTGTACGCGGAGTCCCTAATTAAAATTAAAATGTACAAAATAGATATTTCTACCTGAAATTACTAAAAATATTAATTTTTTATGGTAGGTTTCATATTTATTTCATACTTTATATAATATAAGTCTTTTAATATATTATATGTTTGTTATATGATATATGAGACCAAAAAGAAGAAATGAAAAGAGAATTTTTGTATATCAATGGAGGAAGTAAAGATGTGGAAAACAAGACAGGGATTCTCTACAATGACACTGTAGACCAATTGAAAGGGATGTAGCGCAGCTTGGTAGCGCGTTTGTTTTGGGTACAAAATGTCACGGGTTCAAATCCTGTCATCCCTACCTATTACTTATCCTATGAGCAGTAACGAGGGATCAATTGAGATAAATTGGACATACATAATAAATCTTTAATTTTATGATATATATGCAAGATGAATTGGGGTCACAAAATCTTTATTGTGATAATGATAATAAGGCGCTCTTAGTTCAGTTCGGTAGAACGTGGGTCTCCAAAACCCGATGTCGTAGGTTCAAATCCTACAGAGCGTGATTCTGTGTTCTTGTTAATCGCGTTAGGTCGAAAATTACACTTAAATAATTGAACAGCAATCTAAATTTGACCTCCCGTGGATTAAAGGAAGTAGGAGGTCAATCAAAAAAGAGATGTTAATTAATCAAAGGTCCAACTGATCACCACGTCTGTATTGTAAATATGCAGTTACGAATAATCCGGCCAAAGTAATAGGAATTAGACCTAAGACGATTCCAAATAGAAAAACTTCAATCATTTCAATTTGTTTGAAAGGGGAAAGGGGAGGTAATATTTATCCTTAAATATTAATCTGTATTGACTATAAATCTCAATGACCAAGAATTGGAAATTGATACGTTAAGTAACTGTAGAAGATATGAACTGCCATAGAAAGATTTTTTTTATGAATTGTTCATGTTCATTTAATTAATTTCAAATAAGTCGTATCTTGCTCAGACCGATAAATAGAGCTGAGGTGATAGTCAAAGCTGCTAGTAGAAAACCAAAATAACTAGTTATAGTAGGCATGAAAAGGCTAAATGAAATATGTTCTTTTTATACATATGTTTATAAAGCACTTCCCTAAGTTTCAATTTTTGAAAGATACGAGGATAAGCAAAAATACCAACCAATTGAAAGAATAAATTCAATTGAAAATGTTTGATTCATCTATTATTATAGACGATACTAACAAAAATAGAGTAACATAAGTAAGAAATCGATTCATCATTTGTGACATTTACCCATGTCGCACTTTTGAATCAACAGATTCATCGGTCAACTCTGGAGTTGACTAAACTAATATATGCATATAACTAATACATGTATATATATATAGAATATTTAAATTAAAATTATAAATAAAGTAATAATAAGAACTTTTTTTTATAACTTTATTCACAAAATTAAGCTTTCTTTGAATCACTAATCACTGTGGAATAAAATTGGAAAATCATTTTGATCGTTTTTTATTGTATCGAAATATCGAATACATTTTTTTTTTTCGAACTACAAGTGCCCTTGTAATGCACTTTATTTTTTTTACTTTAAAGTGAACTCAGTAGTAGTTCATTCACATAATCTTGCGATTGAAAAGAAAAAAAGTATCGCATGATAAGATCAATCGAAACTAGGTTTTACATTTTTTCTTTCCATATTAGAAAGCCCACTCTTGTAATTAGGTCAAGAAGGACCCCCCTTTTTCCTTTGTTTGGGTCTAATATCTAATACAATAATGCGTGCATCACGAATATTGATTATTTTTTTATTTATTCGTTGTTCTCTTTCTTTTATTGAACTACTATTGTTACTTGTTACTGGGCGGCTAACCGATTCCTAAAAAAAAGGATTCCAACAAAAAACATCTTATACAACCACAAAAAGGATATTTTTAGATGTAACATCTAATTGAATCGTGAGAATATGACAATCTCCTTCATAAATTATTGGAAACCAACCCGTCGGATTCACATTTTACCTGATCTTCAGTTTCTAGTCCGAAGTCAATAATGAAGAAAACCCTTATACTACAGGAATTTGAGGAATTTTCTATTAAATGGTACAAAATTCTACATCGACAAGCAACAAGAAAAGAAGAAAGAAATTATCTAACACTTCATTTCGATACTGATTGTGAAATTGCATTGCTGTGTCAGAAGAAGGATAGCTATACTGATTCGGTATACTCTAAAGACACCCTTGGTACAATATTGACGATCTCACAAAGATTTTATTTCAGTTAATTTCCATTTACTGATTTCATCTTTTACGGAATCGACCCCCCCCCCACATGTCAAAGTGATGGAAAAGAAAGAATATCTTTTACGTACCCCCCCAGTTTGGCAACCTTTTTTGAAATGATACAAAGTAAAATGTCTCTGTTCAGAAAAGAAAAATTAACTTCTAATGAATTTTATAATCAGTGGAGTTATAGGAATGAACATAAAAAGAAAAAGCTAAACAATAAATTTTTAAATAGAGTAAAAACTCTCGACAAAACTCTAAATCTAAATAAAGAATTTTTTGTTCTGAATGTACTCGAAAAAAGAACTAGATTGTGTAATGATAAGACTAAAAAAGAATACTTAACAAAAATATATGATCCTTTCTTGAATGGACCCTACCGGGGACGGATCAAAAAATTGTTTACACCTTCAATCATAAATGAAGCTTCTATAAAAAATTACATAGAAAGGGTTTGTATAAATAAAATTCATGGTATCCTTCTTATTATTAATTACTTAGAATTTGAACAAAAAACAAATCCATTTGATATAAATGATAGAAAATCATTAGTAACAGAAATCGGTTATTTATTGAATTTAATCAATGAATTGGCTGTAAAATCAACATCAAGTTTAAATTTTCAAAGAATTTTTTTAGTTCCAGAACACGAACAAGTAAGAATTCATTCAGAGGATCAATTTAAAATTTTAAATTTTTTATTCGATGCAGTTAGAACTGTTCCGAACGATAAAACAATAAAAAAAAAATCTATTGAAATAAAAGAAATTAATAAAAAAGTTCCTCGGTGGTCATACAAATTAATCACCGATTTAGAACAACAAGAGGGAGAAACCGAGGAAAGTGTGGTAGAGGATCATGAGATTCGTTCAAGAAAAGCCAAACGCGTAGTAATTTTTACTGATAACCACCAGAATACTGATGCTTATACCAATACCCAAGAAACTAATAATACTGATCAAACAGCCGAAATTGCTTTAATACGTTATTCACAACAACCGGACTTTCGTCGAGACATAATCAAAGGCTCTATGCGCGCTCAAAGGCGTAAAACAGTTACTTGGAAACTTTTTCAAGCAAATGTGCATTCCCCTCTTTTTTTGGACCGAATAGACAAATCTTTTTTTTTTTTTTTTTTTTTATTTTTCAGCCGGTATGAAAATAATTTTTAGAAATTGGATGCGGAAAAACACAGAATTTTCGGATTATACAGAGAAAAAAACAAAAGAAAGCGAGAAAAAAAAAGAAGAGGACAAAAAAGAAGAAGACAAAAGAAAGGAGAAAGCGCGTATAGAAATAGCAGAAGCCTGGGATAGTATTTTACTTGCTCAAGTACTAAGAGGTTTTTTGTTAGTAACCCAATCAATTCTTAGAAAATATATTATATTACCTTCATTGATAATAGCTAAAAATATAGTCCGTATACTATTATTTCAATTTCCTGAATGGTCTGAGGATTTAAAGGATTGGAATAGAGAAATGCATATTAAATGTACCTATAATGGCGTTCAATTATCAGAAAAAGAATTTCCAAAAAACTGGTTAACAGACGGTATTCAGATCAAGATCCTATTTCCTTTTAGTCTTAAACCTTGGCACAGATCTAAACTACAAGCCCCTTATAATGATCCAATGAAAAAAAAGGATCAAAAAAACGATTTTTGCTTTTTAACAGTTTTTGGAATGGAAACGGAACTACCTTTTGGTTCTCCCAGAAAAAAACTTTCATTTTTTGAACCCATTTTTAAAGAACTAAAAAAAAAATTTAAAAAATTGAAAAAGAAATGTTTTATAATTCTAAGAATTTTAAAAGAACAAAAAAAATTGTTTCTAAATGTCTCAAAAGAAACAAAAAAATGGATCATTAAAAGCATTCTGTTTATAAAAGAAATAATAAAAGAACTCTCAAAAATAAACCCAATTATATTATTTGGATTTGGATTGAGAGAAATAGAAGTATATGAATTGAGTGAAACTAAAAAAGATTCGATAATTGGTAATCGGATGATTCATGAATCGTCGATTCAAATTATATCTCAGGGTTGGACAAATTATTCATTAACAGAAAAAAAAATTCAAGATCTAACTGATAGAACAAATACAATCATAAATCAAATAGAAAAAATTACAAAAGAAAATAAAAAAGGAATTCCAGATATAAATTTTAGTTCTAACAAAATAAGTTATGATGATAAAGGATCAGAATCACAAAAAAATATTTGGCGGATATTAAAAAGACAAAATGTTAGATTAATCCGTAAGTCACATTATTTTATAAAATATTTCATTGAAAGGATATACATAGATATCTTTCTATGTATCATTAATATTCCTAGCATCAATACACAACTTTTTCTTGAATCAACAAAAAAAATTATTTATAAATACATTAACGATAATGAAGCAAATCACGAAAGAATTGATAAAACAAATCAAAGTGTAATTCCCTTTATTTCGACTATAAAAAAGTCATTTACTAATATTAGTAATAAGAATTCAAAGACTTTTTGCAACTTATCTTACTTTTCACAAGCATATGTATTTTACAAATTATCACAAACTCAACCTATTAAATTATCACAAATTATCACAAGCATATCTTACTTTTATGTGCAAGTTCGAAGAGATTCCCTATATATATATATATATTATGTGAAAGTTCGAAGAGGTTCTCTATATATATATATTGATTTTGTTATCCAAATTAATTTTTATGAACTCATCCATAGCTTAGGATTGGGGGAGATGGTGATCTTCGCAGCTCTTCTGCCCTGATAATAGAGATCCTTGCCATTAGACAAGCTCTGAGTGCGTGTCTCCAACTTCAACTCACAGATGTGATGGTTAAATCTAATGCCCAAAGAGGTATCTCGATACTCAACAGACAGATTGCGGTGGATGCTGACCTTGAAAGGAATGTCTTCGACATACGGGAGCTGGTGTCTCAGTTTACACGAATGACTTTTGTGTTTGCACCCTACGTTGTAATCGGGCTGCACACGCGATGCTCGTCTAGTTTCTAGACAGGGGGTCCTCATGTGTTAGAACTGAATGGCTCTTTAATATTCTTGCAGCCAATGTAAACCTTTCTATTTGTTTCTAATAAAATCTTCCAGCGACTTTGACATTATATATATTTTCTTTACAATTTTAAAATAAAAAGCCTCATCCATAGCTTTTAGCAGCTTTGGTTTTCCATTTTTGTAGTAAAATACAAAAAAAAAAATCCATACAAAAATTTTACCCACTTTAGTTCAAATATTTCTGAAACACTGCAGTATATCAATTCCCCAATTAATCCAATTTATTAAGTTTCAACAACATAATTAATCTACTTGTAACATAATAAGATAAGAGAACCATGCAACTCCATAATCAAGATTGACTTTAAGAAAATCTTAAAACTGGATCGCGTGCAGGAGAAAGCAAGAGACAGAAAGGGAGGCAGAGAAGGGCACAAGTAAAATGGGTACATTAAAAAGAATGGACAAACATAAATACAACATTCGATTGCCTTTCACTTGAAATAACTGACATGATACACATAAACATCACATTCTAGCAGAATACAAATTTTACTGCTTTACATTTCCAGTGGACTTGTGAATAGCTAAGGTAATCCCTAAGCTGTAGACTTTGGTATCTTGTACTGCTTCTTAAGGAAAAGGGAGGCCTCCGAATCAGCTCTGTGACATAGGATTCTCACAAGAGTCTTAGAATCAGCCCCTAGTTTGCTTCTACCACCCTGCACGCCCAGGCCACTGGAAGACTTCAAGTCCTCAATCAGTTCTCGAGTCTGAGAACAGAAAAAAGTAGAAAGAAAAAGCACCATAAATTTAAGTCGACAAGATTGTAGAGACATTAACACAATCAAACATTGAATTCTGCAAGCTCAAAATTTAAGCAGTCAGAAACTTTGCTATCTTGGGTATAGGGTAAAATAAGATGGTTCTCTCTCTCTCTCTCTCTCTCTCTCCCTCTCTCTCTCTCTCAACAAACTAACTTGTTGAAATCACAGCAAGAGGAATGCCTAAAAATAAATAAAAAAGAATCCGAACATGACGACTGTCCAGATGTACATTTTGCATTTTAATGAAACTCTCATTGATAGTGAAATACGATAATGCCTTAAATAACCTGATTCACTTGTAAAGTCTCAACCAGAGAAAAAGATGGACTAACCTCATAGCTGTGCAACTTTATTACATCTCGAACACGTGCTACCTGATTTTCGACAACTCCTCTTGGAAGCCCATCTCCTCCAGAGATAAAAAACTCCTGTTAATCACAACCACAGTGACACAAAGTAAGTGCAAGTTTGGTTTACAAATTTGAAACTCCACGAAATGCTCTGTCATACAAAGTAGACAATTCTTCTTGTGAAGCAATTTAAATGAACAAATTCACCCGTTTATCTCTTCTTTTGCCAGATTAAGTTCAACCAACTTCCAAATGCCTACTTGTAAGTAAATTCCTTCTTTCCAACGCTAAGGGCCCTTTTGATAACCATTTTAATTTTAGTTTTTAGTTTTCATTTTTCATTTTTCATTTTTCATTTTTTGTGCTAGAGAATAGGGGAAAAAGAGGAATGGAAGTGAGAATGAGAGTGAAGATGAGAGGGGAGGATGGGAGGGAGGAGTTATAAATGTGAAAACAAGAACTAAAAACTGAAATCTATTTGAAATTGTTTTCACTTTTGTTACTCCTCCCTCCCATCCTCCCCTCTCATCTCATTCTCACTCTCATTTTCCTTTATACTCTAGCACAAAAAAATGAAAACAAAAAACTAAAATTGAAATGGTTATCAAACAGGCCATAAATGGAACAAGTGTAAATTTGTGGGAAAAGACGATATGCAACTTTGTTGGATTACCTATCTGGATTCAAAACAAATTCTCTCTTTTTGGTCAGATATAAAAATAATTCTTGGCCTATATTTTAACAGTCAAGTATGGTGATAAACCTGGAAAAAAAAAAAAAAAAAAAAAAAAAAAAAAAAAAAAAAGAAAAAAAAAAAGAGAAAAGATTCCATGGTATCAAAGAAGCAAACCCAAGTACAAATCCCAATAATGACAACCACCAAATATAGGTACTCTCATATGTTGGGTCCTCTAATGGTGAGGTGATGTCCACATGTGAGGAGTGTTAGGAGCTAAGATAACTGTTCACCCACATGTGAGGAGTATACACCAATAAAAATTTGGGAGCTTCACTAAAACACCCAAAACCCATCATTACACACACTCAAAATCCATTTATAAACACACCCAAAAAGTTGACTTTGGGGTTGATTTTGGGTGTGTTTCTATGTTTAAATAGTGCTTGGGTTTTTCTACAAATACATGTCTAGGATTGGGTTTATTTATAAATTTGTATAAAAATTTACCACTTGCAATATTCAAAGGGCACAAAGCAGGTACCTTGAGGACCTCCAAATCTTCTTCTAATAGCTTTGCATCGCCCAAAGAGAAAATTCGTGATGGGCCTCCATCTAATACAACACGGAGTAAACCATCCTGGATAAAAAATAAAATAAAATAAAATTCCAGTGAAATAAAAATTACAGTAAATTTGACAGATTTGTGGAAAGAAAAGGGCGAGGAATAGACCAGCGTTGCTTGAAGGAGACTTGTCACGATGCGATCCCTTAGTGGTTCCACAATTATAGCACACAGTTGACTAAGTTCCTGCAGTAGTTCATAATGACAGGCAGCCCTTTGTCTTCAATGTCAATACAATCTTAAGAAACAAATACAAATTAAAAAATGACATGGATACATGGAAATTAATAACTGAAGAAGAAACACGTAATAGGTGGATAGAAAAATCAGACAGAACACTCCTTTTGTCGTTCTTCTGAAACATAAACAATATGTCTAAACAAGTGCTAAAAATTATTCAACTCTACCAAGATGAATAGAGGTAAGTCAAAATTGACCGTACGTAGCATCCAATTTTGATGCCTTTTGAGCATGAATCCAACATAAAAGTCATATGATCAGGTTGATGTGCCAGATCCTAACTACCAACTACCATCTGAACCTATTAGTCAAGTTGATGTATCTTTCTACCTCATGAGATGTAACTCAAACTCCCAGGACCCTTGTTTAATGGCTAAACTTGTGCTAGTACTATCCACATGACAACACAATTACGAGTGAAAGTATACGCAACTTAAAGGTTGATCAAGAAGAGGTACAATTCATAACATGTAGAATACAAATTATATGCAACGTGAGGGCAATAAATATAGAATAATTTGGTTTCTTTCTATTGTGCAAGGAAAAAGAGGCTAAAGGCAGATGAGATCTTGACAGATCAGTCATTTTCAAGCTTAAGCAGCTTTAACTACCACCAAAAATAGAATGTAGCTTCCAAATGGAATAAATCTGACCGTATCAAGTGGTTCATACACTGCTTCGAACCTAGAAAGAGAAACACTTGGTTTATATAAGTTGTTAATAAATGGTTCCCTCAAGTCCCAGAAGATAATCTTAGTTCCTGCAATAAACAGTTGGTAAATTAATAAATGGTCTAGTATCTCAAGGAATTTGACATCATCTAAAAACACAAATCTTGTACCAGTGAACTCGCAAATTTGATCTATAGCAGCATTTATATCTTTTCTACTCCCATCAAACGTGTCCTTCTGAGTGAAACTTTTTGACTTCTCATCGATGGATTTCTCTACAAACAAAAGGTCAATATATCAAGCACTGAAAAGATTGCAAACAACTGATGTTAATATGCGTTCCTCAACCTAAATTCCTGTAACTAGAAAGATTGCAAACAAATATAAAGTTAGAAAACCACTTTTCTGCACTTACTGGTAAACTTTTGGCTGGGTTTCTTCCTCGTCCATCGCTCCCACATGCTATCTTCCAACTTATTCAGCTGACTGATTGCATACTGTGAATAGCACAAAAGTATACCAGATTTTTCACTAACCTTATTGGTCAATCAAATTCCTATTAGAAAAAAGTATATGGCAACCAAACAAATTTATATCTAAAAGATATGGTGAAAAGAAACCGGAGGACCATCAAATGTAGATGCAACTAAAGATCTTTAGCAAATAATTATAACAGAGTGCCATCATTTTCTTATGAAACTTAGGTCTCATTAATATCAATGTTTTCACTTTCTTATGATTCTTATAAAAGAATCACGTGCATATAACCCATCATTTTCTCACCCAGGACACGTACAATACCAGAACAAAAACATTATAAGATCACAAGCACCTAGAAGAACTCATCCGGCCAATTCAAATTAGGAGTATCAAGGCTTAGTTGAGTTTAGCATTAAAAAATCATTACGAAAATATTTCCTCCCCTCATAATGAAAACAAGAAGCTAAACCTGAACTTACATAAAGTGTATTTAACTGAACACAAAGTGTTGGAGTCGTTCGAACACTAATTTCAGTAGACCTTCTCTCATCAGGCAGCCTAGGGTCAAATAGTTCCTTCTTTACAAAAGCCTTTATTCCAACTTCCTTCTTGTATCTTGTAAGAATGGGCACAGGTGGAATTAAATCTTCCTTGGTAGCTGCATGACCAAAATCCCAATGTAAGGTCTGTGTGGATACAATAAGGGTAGATAACAAGGGGAAAAAAAGAAGGTGGTTAAAATCATTTGTATGGCATGTAGAGAAGAATGAAAAATCTTGTTAGCTTGATATACATTGTTTAACATTACGGGGTATTGGTAAGCTAACTTGGTAGCAAGGCTTTGGTTGTAGGAGCTCCTGGGTTGAAACCTCAAAACCACATTTCTCAATTCTTTGTTGGTTTGCAAGGTGTAGGTTGGGGCAGCACCTATTGGCATGCATTTCTCTCTCACCACGTGCAGGATGGGGCTGCACGTGAAGGAGGGCTCAGTATGATATACAGTGTTGACCCATTCCTTCACAGCTTAAGCTTTTGGGGTCCAAGGGAAATCTAACAAATCTAACAATGTAATAAGAAAACAAATAAAGAAACAATTTTGTTTTCTTTTTGGGCACAAAATAAGTATTCATCATTCATGAACCTATTTATAACTAGAAGTTCCTGAGTTCAAAGAAATAAAAGCAGAAAAGAACATTTACACAAATAAGTGCTACACTAATATCCATCAATAAAATTATCTACAGGTCAATTCTCTAAAAGGCCAGATAAACAACTGTTGCCCAAGGAATATGTACGAGAGTAGGGTAAAGGAAACATAACTTGTGATCAGATAATTTTAAATGACCCTCACGAAGTTTTCCACAACTGTGATAACACATGTATGTCATGTCAGTCAATTCAGAATTGTGCAACTCACAAGTAGCACATACCCAACTTGTCAATGACATGATTTGCGAACACTTGAAAAGCATTGTCAACTCCACGAAACAAACCACTCAATTCTGTAGGCCTCATTGGAACTTTGAGATCAAAAAATTGGTCGACAGTCTGCATGAAGAAATGTTTATAAGGAAACACATCAGCAACGTTGGTCAGTGGCAAGAGCAGATAATAGATTTGAAGGCCAAATCCTACAAGTATATCCAGAATTGTAAGATTCCATATGAAACCGCTGACAAATTCTAGACTTGAAGTACAGATACTTGAAAATGCATTTAATAGTCCACTTCCTTTAAAACCAACCTCCAATAAAAGTTCCACATTATATCCAATTCAATTTATTTTTCATTTCATAAAGACATCCTTACTTGATGAATAACACAATTATTTGACTGCTATTGATTGTACTATAGGTGAGGACTCCTTGTCCATTGCATGCACTTTTTGAGTTTTTATTTTTAAAAAAGTACATTTTGGTTCAAAAAATAACACAATCATTTGAAACCCAGAAATGAAAGCATTTCAAAGATATCAATGGCAACGATACAATTATTTGAGAAGATGCAGACTTTTGGAAACATATAACAAACTTATTTATCACCAACTATAAGTGTGTGACCCATATTGTCAACTATGTGTGCATTTTTATTATGAATACGCAAGTTATTGTTATTAACACACATATAAATTGATCACTGTTTTTTTTTTTTTTTCATTATGAAAGATATCCAAAAACTACTTTATAGCTTATACAATACCATATGCAAAACCCAAAAAGAACAAACAGTCATACCTCCTCCACAATCCTAAATACTTCAACTATTGAACTCCCATGCCGCTGTTGAGGTGATATTGGGTCCCACCTCTGTAAGATGATGCACACGAACATTAAGCAACTTACAAGATGAAAAAAGAAGCCCCATATATTGTTAAAAAAAATGAAGATGAGAAAAGTTTCCATAAATTATAACAAAAACTTACCTACATGCAAATGGTGATAAAACGGCTTTCCCTAAATTGTTATGAAAATTAAACAAAGGACAAAATGTAACTAGAATAATTATGTCTGAAGAGGCAGGACAGCCAGACGGTCCTACAAATACCCAATTACTGAATAAGCCCCATGTGTTCAAAGTATTAACGAGTCTATGACAACCCGAATTACTGAATGGCATAATGAGTAGCAGACTTGGCCGTTGATACACAAAACTTACAATTTTACATGAGATCATGGATGATGGATTTGAGTAATACAATCATAAGAAATAACTGGATGCTTCACATATACTACCTTCCTCTCATTTTCCACACTGATAGAAAGAAGAGATAAAAGTATTATCTCTTTCATAAAACCCTTCCACAGAATATTACACAAGTATTACTAACCACAGTTTAGGGGCAGGGGCCTCTCCCCTATTTTATTTGTCACCATGACTCCTCAATATAACCTACCTCAAAGCTACCAACTTCCTGGTACCCAACACCACCACTAATTAGGTGAGAAAACATCATTCCAACAATAGTTTTTTAAGGAAGTTGAGGTTCCACCCCAAAACCAATTGGCAATGGGGGGAGTAGCCCTACTCCTTATAAACTCAGCTAGGTCCCTTAACTTTTCAATGTGGGGCAAACACTCTCAACACGCCCCCGCACGTGTGGCGAACTTTCAGGCCTTACACATGAACAACATATATTGGGTGACATGGAAGCACGTGTGGCCGTTGGGCTCAACACGTGAAGCCTTGCTCTAATACCATGAAGTTGAGGTTCCACACCAAACCCAATTGGCCATGAGGAGAGTAGCCCAACTCCTTATAAGCCCTTGCTAGGTTTCTCAACTTTCCAATTTGGGACAATTCACTTTCACATTCTCACACGCCTCTGCACGTGTGGCCGTTGGGCTTTCACACGTGGGCAACCCGCTCTGATACCACGAAGGAAGTTGAGGTTCCACCCCAAAACTAATTGGCAATGGGAGGAGTAGCCCAACTCCCTTAATTTTTCAATGTGGGACAAACACTCAACTGTTTTAATCCATGTGAAAACACATAGGACACTTTCCTTCTGACTGGATTACCAAAAGTTACCAATCTAGAGTATATCAAACAAGTACAACAATTTCTGAAGAAAGACATAAAATACCAGTCAATATCATGTTCACCCCTACGTCTCAAACAGGTAGCATAAAAACAAAAATGTGCTTGCTTCCTTTCTTTTTATTGCTTTTATGGCTTGTGCTTTCAAGATGAGAACAATAAAAAGTAAACTAACATAAGAAATTAAAACAAAAATAAATAAAAAATCAAAAAAGGATAAACTTTAAATTTTACCTCTTGTTGAACAGCCCGTTCAACCCAACCTAAGATCCTTCCAAGTTGCGAATTGACCCAACGCATCACCAATGTTCCAGATATGGATCCAATCTAAGAAAATATAGGAAGTTCAATAAAATGAAAATAAGAACCAATGGAGCATATTGGTAAACAGTAAACCTGACATATTGTTCTCAACTATCTAATTTTTCAGCTTTAGCTTAGCGGAACCAAGTCTTTTACCAATTGTGCATATCCATGACTTTACACTATTTGAAGACAAATTTATATTAAAAATGAAAAAGAAAAAAAGGAGATATGTAATGTAGAAAAAAATCCAACTATCACCTGGTATGGAGCTAGTTTCCTACAGTATATATCTGCAGTTTCCTCTCCACAATTGGACGTAATAAGTTCCATAATGTACTGCTCAAGGTTATCAGCTGCTGGAAATACAGATATTACATCCTCGGTCAGATGTTCAGCCACACCGAGAAAAGGTTTCTGAAATAACACATTAGCATTAAGTTCTCCACTTCCACCCCAAAAAACTACTGTATCATGGAAAAAATGTAGATAAATGTAATTCTCATTATTTAAAAAAAAAGGGAGGGAGCATATAAGCTCACCAACTTGTTGCCATAAAGCCTATGAAGGAGTGAGGCTGAGACAGAAGTTGCTTGTGGATGCCTCTGGGATAAAATTGGCATGAACATGGTTGTATCTTTTTTTAAGAGTTTCTTGGTCTCTTCAGCAAGCAATGCCAAAGGATGTTCATGCTTTGAGTCTGATTTTTCAACAGACTGTAAGATCTGTACAACAAGAAAATACATTTTTAAAATTTAAAAATTCAAATCCATTATTCAGCCGTCTTAAATGGAAACTTTAATCGTATCAAAGGTATCTGTTTTTGTAAGTGTGTGTGTGTGTGTGTACACATGAGTTCTGTGGAGAGTGACCACTGAATAAATTGTGTACTGGACTCTAGTCTGAACAATTTACCACTCGGTGTCTTCTCGATTTTGAAGCTTGCTAGTTACTAGTAAGCCTAGCTTGACATCACTGCCCCTTTGTCTTTGACTAGGGTCCCAACACAATATTTATAAGATCAGTGTTTTATTGACTATTCAGGGGAAGTGTTAGTTAGAGTTGTAGGTCTTTCTCTAGTCAGTGTTTTATTAACATTAATGTATTATTGTATTTTACATTCATGCTTTAATTCTGCAGCACAAGAGCCCATAGAGATCACCAAAATCTGACCCTTCCCCAAAGCTTCTCCTCCCCTACTTGGCTTAAATCTTAAAAAAAAATTCTATTTCTTTCCATCCACACAACAGGACAAGAGCTTCGCTTTCTTTCCACCATTGATCACAGTGTGTTTTTTATGCAGGAAAGAATAACAGCCTTTTGGAACTACCCAGCTCACACCAAACTCCTAAAGATATTTAGACGTAACTTCAATGCTATCGGGCAATAACGAAACACAATAGTCTGTTATATCCACAACTTTTTAACACTTTCAAGAGAACCTTAAGTTTTTCCTTACTTTGTAATAATAATAAAAGTTTTACCTTACTTCATAGTCCTCTATTCCTAGCAGGACATTAGTAAAACATGAAAGATCAAACAAACATTTCAAACCAGTAGAGTCTTCACAAACCTCAGAGTAATATGTACCAACTCTTAAAAGCCCTGAAATAAGAAGCCAAAGGCTTCACCTTATTCTCAATGATGATAAACAAATTAGGGACAAAGTTTCTGGTCAACTATTACAACTTTATGTGCATGATAGAGCCTAAAAATAATTCCTATACAGCCAAGTTTTGATTAATTTTGTTAGTTACCTACTACTTTCAAAAGTTTAACATGTTAGAATGTGGGCTTGAATTTCCTCATGACTGGGGTCTAACATATACACAACACTGGACTCCTGTTCTAATACCATGACAAATATTTTTGGTCTACTCATGTTCCAAAAGCTTAAGTATGGGCCAAGTATTGTTTTTGTCCTTACACCTCTCTTCCCAAAGGAGAAGTCCATTGCCTAATTTTCCTATATTAAATTTTGCTTAATTGAAATAGTAAGACTTACTAATATATTGTGTGTCAAAAATCTTATAAAAAAATCACTGAAACACTTACCCTTGTAAATGCATTCTTAATAGAAGATGATATATATGATTCTATCTGATCTCGATCTGTGCTGGATGTATATTGCATCATTGCCTGTGGAACAAATAAAAGAAATCATCTTTAAACCTTTTACAATTTGACAACACATTTGAATATCTGTTATTTTAAAAAAAATCCAGATACTGGAGTTGGCCAAAAATAAGGGTTCGTCACAAGAAAGAATAACTTAGAAAAGTTGGAAAGTTATACTAGTTGTTTTCCACAAGTCAAGAACCATGCTTGGCTCCTCACCGCTGAGATGTCACCAATTCATACCAATGAATTGGTGAAAGTGGTGAGTCCCACCATTCACCTGACACCTTAGCAGTGAGAAGAAAAGTTTTTCCTCACCGATGAAGAGCCATGCATTATTCTCTAATATTAGTCAAGCACAAAGTTTCTTTTGAGTCCACACATACTGCTTCAGGTTCCTCCAATAGAAGCCTTTGAGCAATCATTGCAACAGCTGCTACATTCTCCATCATAACTGGCACCTACAAGGTACATGAGAAGTTTAAGAAAACTGAGTTGCAACCAGGAAGGTCCCTTGGTAAAAGTGACTAAAATTAGCATAAATTTTTAATTAGCTGAATCAGCTGGAGCCCAGAGTGGTGTCATGAAGATGCAACATTAACAAGTACCAGAAGTGAAAACAGCTGCATAGCATAAATACACAAGCATATAATAAAACAGAAAGATCATGCAAGCAAATGGGCACAAGACCTATGATAGTTATTTCCATGGTAGTACAAAAACAAACATATACAAATTAAAAATAATTGTTTAACAAAGCTAACATCAGCCTGACAATAAACCAAATTAAGAATGAGGACCACACCCAAGTATAGCACTTCTAGGACCTTAGCATACCTCAGAAAAGTGCAGATGGTAGTCTCCTAACTGCTTATCGGCCCATTTCTGAATGGGCAACAAGAAGGACTGTAAGAAAGATAAATCTTGGTGACCCTGATCGCCTTCAACTCTACAATGTAAACTCTTCAAATGTAACCTCTCTTGTGGTCCCCGTTGTTCCTTCAATGGTATTTTCTTTAACTGTTCAATGGCATGTTTTAAAACTCCTTGCTCACTTGTAATAACATGCTGTGATCACAGAATCAATACAAACTGTAAATGCCGATGATACCTATCAGTAGAAAAAAATTACTAATGGAACTGCCAAGATCAGACATTCATGAGAACAAACAAAAATGAAACAACAGAATTAGAAAGAACTAATCTAGCTTAAAAGAAACTCAAAGAATTGAACAAATACAGCAATTGTTGTAGAATGGACCAACTCAAAGAAAATGAGACAGTACATAATTGATATGATATCATGCTGACAAGGACCCACCCATGAAAGACAATCCACTATCAGTATCTTTATAATTGAAACCTTCTAAAAATATGCATTTAAATTTTTTTATCACTGTAGAGCATGTGTGTGTGTGTGTGTGTGTGTGTGTGTGTGTGTGTGTGTGTGTACATGTGGTGGGCTTCAATTCCCAGAGAAAAGATTTGCCAGTTGAAAAGTATAAGATGAAACGTCAAGTTGTTCAAAACCGAAGTCGATTGAACCAAGCTTTTGAAGACATCTACCACATGTTGGAATCTATTATTAGTGTCATTCAATGCAACTTCAATTATCCAAGATGCTCTACATATAAATTTTTAAAATGTTGGAAAAACATTTATGTTTCCAAAGATACGGAATGCCTTCAATAAGAATGAGAGGTTCATGGGATGGGAGAAGAGTACCTCCGATTGTATAACTTATAGGCCTATAGGCCTCAGACTAAAACAAAATTATAAACAACATCGTACAAAACTCTGGGTTTGTACAATCAGAGGTACATGTTGTTTGTGTGTTTGTGTGTGTGTGTGTGTGTGTGAGAGAGAGAGAGTCCTTTATGTCTGTTAAGTCCACATCTTCCAGTAATTATATGAAAAACAAATATCTTTTTTAGAGTACATATTATAAATGTAACAATATAAGACACAAGTCAAACATACTCTCCATCACATATAAACAATGACATTATAGCTTTTCCCATAAAAAAAACAAAAACATCACTTTAGTGGCTGCAGAACAATGCAAAAAGTAAATTACTTTTATGCCTATTTTACCTGACGGAATAAGACCCATGCATAGCAAGTGTAATGCATGGTCTCCGTGATTCCTAAAACACGCCACGTTGACTTCACAAGCTCGAGTATTTCTTCCACTTCCTGAAAATAAAGATAAGCTAGAGACTCTGAGAGACAAAGAAAAAAAGCCCAGCTGCTGCTTTCTTTGTAAATACATATTTGACAACTTGGGGTATCTACAGCTGGAGCCCACATGCAACAATAGACAACAGTGACTGTTAATGGTTTTGATGTTTGTGCCCTAAAGATTCTCAGGTTAAATCAATTTTCGACTTCAGCCTTTAATTAAGAGCTGAGTTATAAACTTTTTTGCCTCACAGGGGTACGTATGCAGAAATTTGTATGTATTATTTACCAATCGTGTTGAGTTCAGGACTTCCTAGGAGCCCTGGGTATGAAATAAGTCCGTGTGTTTGAGACATAGTTTTTTTTTTTAACTGGATACTCTCATTATTATTAGTTTGGCTCAAGAGTCTATACTTCAAAATCAGTTGTCGAAAAAATTTAATTATTTTGTGTTTCAGGCATCTCTCTCTCTCTCTCTCTCTCTCTCTCTCTCTCTCTCTCGTATTGTTTAACTTGGTACAACAACCCCTGACTTCTCTCTTCAAGACTTCTCTCTTTTCTTATCTCTTCAAGACCTTAACTCTCTCCCTATCCCCACATTCCACAATATTTGCCCCCAAATAAGCAATCATAAAATGAGCATTCTTCTTAGATTTCAATCAATTTCAGCTATCAAGATTCAACCTTTTCACCACTAATTTACAACCCCTAAAGCTTTCTTTCTACATTTCCAAGCCTTAAACCCATAATTCTTTCAACCCTAGCACCCACCACATAAAACCAAGGTTAAGTTTCCTAAACTACCATACATCACTATGAAGTAAACCAAAACTACATTTTATTTTACAGAAAAATTCTGAAATCTCAGAGCTTTTAAAACAGAATGGAGATCCTAACTCCAGAAAGCTTTTAAAACCCAACCAATCAAGCAGAAAGTGACTTGGCAATGTAAATGAATGCAGTTCTTTTGTAGATTTTGACAGAGACGTGTTGTCATGGCCAAGAACCAAAAGTACTAACCTCAGTCAACTTTCCCTCATCTAACATATCAAAGACACTGAGAAGCAGTTTCTCATACAGTCTAACGTTCAAGTGATAACCATCTGCCCAGTGACATACTTCACCAGTTAAGTCACCACGAGCAGGCCTCTCAGCAAGTGGAGTGGCAATCTCTCGAAGAGATCTTAAGCATTCTGTTCGTTGGAGTTCACCCGGGGAAGTTGGAAGAAACTACAATCAAAAGAGAAAGGAAAGGGGGCGAAATGAAAAACAAAACAAATATAATTATACCAAAAGCAACATGCAAAAAATTGAGATGGAACCATGCCGGAAATGTAGACCATATTAAATAGTACAAATTTTTTTTGAAACCACCAAGTTATAAAAGAAATCATTATTATAAAAAATTACGGGCTAGAGTTCACATGGTGGTAAAACAGGAAATGGGTGCTAATTTGTTAGTTTACAACAAAAGAACACCTAACGCCCAACTATATGCCACATGAGCCATAGTTGATGTGGTAAAACAGTGAGTGGGACTGGGTAGCTTTTAGGTCATTTTCTTCTTTTTCCTTTTTTCTTGTTTACCAAAAACACAGAGAGAGAGAGAGAGAGAGAGAGAGAGAGAGAGAGAGAGAGAAGAAAAGTTTAACACCCAAACAAGATCAGTAGAATTGTTTTTAATAAGATATTAAAATACAAGAGAAATGCACAAAAATTCCATCATATTCCATACACACCCTCAAAGAAAAACACAAGTTACACTAATGTTTAACACCCAACTACCCCTATTTCTGGTGTTTCCAAAGCAAATAAAAGGTTTAAGACCCAAATATTTCCATTATAATCTTATAAATATATAAAGTAGAACAAATGGTTTTCGAGTGTTAGTTAAGAGAATAAATGATTGGGTAAGGGAAATTTTAATTGTCTATTATTGTGATAGAGAGCATTCCAGCCATTTAGACGAACAGAAGACATACCTCAGATTCTTCAATTTTTGCTAAAAGAATCCTAAACTCACTGGCCTTCCGTCCAGACTCCCCAAATCCAACAGCAGGGAAATTAAGAAGCCCTTCCTCCAACATATTCAACTGTGAAAACAAATCAGAATTTCTCAATTTGGATCTCATGTGCATATATGGTCACCCTCCAATTACACCAAATAGGAAATTTACAAGGCCAATAAAACGTAACAAGACAAAATGATAGATTGTAAGGAACAGAACTTACCTGCCTTTTCTGCCACCGTATATACGCCTTCTTGTCAGAAAATTCTGTTCGTGAAATACAACAGAGAAGTTCCAGAGGAACCAGTAGGGCATCCATTCTTTTTCCCACTTTTCCAGCTAGGGCATTAAGCAGCCCTTGTCTAGTTCTGATGTCCATGGCCTCAGATATCTGCATTTACGAGTATGGGAAAAGAAATCATTAAATCAATATGAATCCAATGAAATACAGTTCACCAAAACTGCATAAAAAATCATATTTGAAGACAGCAATGATTTCAGAACCCCTCTGGCTGACGCCACGTCAATTACAAACCAATAATGAGGTACAAAAAGGGTCACAATCAGATGAATACATTCAGTGGGGGGTACCCGAACAAGGAAAGAAACAACTGACCCACTTATAAAATTTTACAGTGCATAGCAGCTTGAAGTGACAGCCAGTAATGCACACAAGATTAACATATGCATGTACCAAATCTTGTATTGCTGGGCTACGATAAAGAAAAATTATGCAACAGCACATGACTTGGAACTAGCACAACCAGATGATTGTTTACAATATGGTCCATTCTCCAGTGAACTAATAAGCTTATACATGACGCTCAGCCTTTTAGTCTTAGTAATTAACCCTCCGGTTTCAAAAGAAAAACATGCCATGCAGTCCTCCTTTGTGCTCGAATAGTTCTTAAGTATTCTACCATATGGGCTCATTTAGTATGCTGGACTGAACTGGACTATTTCAATTTGATTGTAATGTACTTCTTCCTATTGTATTAACCTTACTACTATCATGGGTTTGGTACTGTCAGGACTAAGACGCCGGATAATCTGTACGGTGTTACGTATTGTACTGTATAAGGGAACCAACAGAACTAAACAATGATTAAATAATTTCTAAAAATAATCTTATTTAGGAAGCTTAAAAATGCCTTCTATCATATTTGTAACTATCATCTATAAATATCATTCATCTCCAATGCTTATCAAACACCGCTTATTTGAAAGTTTTACAAACTACTCCTCAAAATCAATACACCCATTCGGGATGATGGATGAGTTCCAACCCCTTGGTCTTCCATTTTTAATAACACAAATTAATTGAACATTAATGGCATGTTACTTACTTTAAGTCATAAATCAGGTAAGTCGAGAATAGGGGAGAGAAGGAATGGGTATGGGATTAACTATTCCCCCCTAATCAATCTAATTCATGGTTTTTCAATTATTGGATTGCGAATTTTAATGTAAAACTCACATAAATTTTGATTTCTCATGTGTTGGAATCGGAATAATTCGAACACCATTCCCAGGTAAGTAAGCATGCCATAAAAGGAGAGGAAAAGGGAGAAGAAATAAAGTAGTAATGCCTCCATTTGAAAAGCAAATGACTACTAAATACCTCCATCTGGACACGCATGGTCTCCAACAAACCAACCAATCCAGGTGCTCGTTGAGACTGACTCAAAGGATTTTCATTTCTACTACGTCCAAGTTTCCTCATCAGCTTGGACCTTTTGTCTTTCTTTTTCTCTTTTGACGGCACAATCAGACCCCTGTTCAGACAGAGAGAGTGCAAGCATGGATGGTGTCATGTCAGAACTAAACTAAGTACACAAATAGACCTGCAATCACAACGGCATTTCCTTGATTTACAAGAAAACAAAAAATATTTGCAGACCCAATACGAAAATGAAAGTATACCCTGCAGCACCAGCACATGCCAAAAGGACTTCATATGCAGTTTCACGGAGATCATCTTCTGTGATACCTAAACAAGAAAAGGAGAAAAAAAAAATTATGACAACCATCCCATGCTTTTTAGTGTCAACTTTCATCAATCATCCTAGGGGCTGGGAATGCAGTCTTATATACTGATTGCCAAATATGTGGAAAAAGCAGACAGATGCATCTGTATAGGATACCTGTAGGTTACTCTATACCTCTTTAATACTTCCTAATGTGCCAAATATTTTTAAAAAAATGCATCCAAACATAAATAATAATTAAAAATAAAATCACGGTCTCGAATTGGGCAGCTGTTATAGACTGAAACATAGCAAAGGGTCATATGAGATATGTTTTACTCTTTGAGTTATACATAAATTAAGAATACTTGCATGATGAATCTACCACACCATATGAGTGTAACAATCTCGGAGAACTTTGAAAAAAATGTATGTAAATATCTATACATTGATCTACATGTATGCGCATTTAGCATTGTGGCGATATTGCAGTCTACTCTTTCCAGAATATTTACATTTCAATGTATCCAACATCCATATCCAACCTTCCTTGTGCAAAAGAAACAGACCATTAATATCAATATTCATCATGAAAATCTCCAAAACCCAATATCTTCAAATCCATTATTCCATTAATATCATCAGAATCTTACGCAAGATGTGGTTTATGATACAGAATTTAAAGTGTGTAAGCTCGGTAGAGCATAGGGTGTCTATCTAGAGGTGGGACCATTGCCCTAACTATGTTGGTCTTTAAGTAGTATTCTTTTTTCATGTCTCTCTTTTGAATGTCAAGTAGAGTAGCTAAGGTTTTAGAACAAAATGATGCGGGGAATCCTATTGATGCATAGCTCTGTTTTGCATTGGTTGTCGAATCGTCGTCGAGTAGTCTAGCTAGCAACTACCAGCTAGACCACTGGACAACTTGTCCCCTGTTTTGTATTTTTTTCAATTTAACAAAACTGTGTTTCTTATCACAATATTTATTTAAAAAATAGTATAATGTATATCATAACCAGTTAGTTTAGAATTGAAAAGTCAACCAATGACCATAAATTCAAAGCTTATTGTACTACCTGAATCTGGCACTTCTACTGAATTCATAGTGTAGTTTTTCATGGTTAAGTATAATGTAGTTTGACTAGATTTATATGGCATGCATATACGCTGGTATTGGTTAAGATAGTAGGAATGATGATATCAAAGTACACAACTTTTTATTTGAGGGCTAACTCTCTCTAGATTTTTTTTTTCTTTCCTTTCTTGTTCGATAAGTTAAGGCCAAAATTTAATGTATCCGCACCTATCTCTTAATCACATGAGCCCACACCCAAGGGCCATCATGTGGGAAATGTAGGTCATTAATTAGACTAGTTTCATGCAGGGGAAATTTTACATAATTTAGTTTTGATACAATTTCAATGGCTTTAAAATCTAATACCTGTCTTAAAAGAAGACAATCCAAGCGAAAGATCAGTAGCATCGTTTCGAATCCTTCGTGAAATCCGGAGACTGTCAGCCTCATCAATATCATCATCCTCGAAATCTTCGATATCATCTACAGTCAGTTCTTGAGCTTGTGTGTAGTTAAAAGATTCTGACTTTGACACACTTGATGCAACTGGAGATGAGTCAAGGTCAGGAATAGATGAAAAGACACCAGGAGGTGGAGTTAGAACAGGAGGTGGCACGAAGTCCGGAACAGGTGGTGGTGCCCGTTTTGGAGGAGAACCGGAAAACTCAGGATTCGTAACCAAAAAGAATTCACCAGCAGAACCTGTACTGTTCTGGTAAAGTGGAAAAATGAACAGAATGGGTATAATTTAAGCAAACAAATTAACGGGAACAAGAGGAAATGAACCTTGATAATACGCAAAAGATAACTAATTAGAAAATAATTTTTTTTTTGTGATTATCCTAATCCAAATTACAAAACAAAAAACAAAAACAAAAAAATCAACCAAAACCCAGAAAAGATGAGAATAAAATAATACAAATTTATAAATAAACCCAATCCTAGACATGTATTTATAAAAAAACCCAAACACTATTTAAACATAGAAACACACCCAAAATCAACCCCAAAATCAACAATTGTATATTTTTTGGGTGTGTTTATAAATGGGTTTTGAGTGTGTGTAATGATGGGTTTTGGGTGTGTTTATAAAGTGTTTTGGGTGTTGGGTTTTTTTATAATTTCAGCCCCCATTTTGGGTGTTTTAGTGAAACTCCCTAAATTTTATAATATGAATGAATTAATAACATTACTGATAAGTCATACCATTGGGAATTCTATTTCCTTGATTGGTCCTAATTTGGATCCACATTATTAAAAACAAAAGGGGTAATAACAACACTAAATCTCCAACCAGATTTGAACTCCAAAGCTGACAAAAGTTTTCACTAATCAACATGAGAATAATTCACTAAATCATGTCTTAAATTGCACTTACCATCTGGGGTAACCCAGTATGGTCATGGTAGTCTCTAATAGCTTCCGAGAGTTCAAGCATTCCACCTACAGAACAAAAATGGTGTCTATATATGTAAAGAAAGAAACTTTAACAAAACCAAAAAGTCGAAATCAACAATAAACAAACCAGATAAACCACCTTTCTTTGCACAATTGAGCACATAATCAACACTGACTTGGTCTAGATCCACATCATCTAGGGTAACCGCACCAGGAGGCATTATCACCTTCTTTATTAAGCTACCGGCAAGTATAAAATCCAGAAGTATTCGCCTGTCCCGACGATACCGTTGCAAAAGCTCCACCGCATTCTCCCTACATTCCATTACCAAATTGAAGTTTTCTCTTTGTTGTTTCAGCAAAGCAAAATTCTTTCAAAATAAAAAGCAAGACTTACTCTTCCATCTGAAAATTATTCCAACTCTGCTACCTGACAAATACCCCAAAACAGGAAAACTCAAGCTTCACAGAGTGGCATAGCTTGCTCTGTGAGGAAAGAAAAGAAAATGAAACTTAAAGATGGGGCTCCATTTCTTAGACGCACAAGAGAAGATCAGTTTCCGTTTGGCGGCTATGATTTCAGAGAAGAAAATGAAACTGGAGAATCAGAAGAAGCATGTCCGAATTGTTTACCTCAGTTTTTCCCAGCAACCAAACAGAGCATTGAGCTTAAATGAGTGAGAGAGAGAATCGCGGGACTCAAAAATGTAGAGGAGGAAAGCAAGTGAAACGGCGAGTTTTGACCGCTGTTGAGTTGAGTTGGGTTTGGTAGCTTCAAGCAGAAGTTCCGGCAACGGGTTCTGAAAGAGAGAGAGAGAGAGAGGAAATCCCAGTCGACGAGATTTGGATCTAAAAAGCTTTTTTTAATTATTTGTAGAAAAAGTAACTATTTGGGAATTTTACTATTTACGATTTACTACATGTCGAAATTCTAACAGACAACAGTTTCCTAAGTCTAATAAAATCCTGTTCTTCAAAGGAGTACTAGAATAGAAAATATATATAGATGAAGGCTTTTCGTTTTCTAATCAAAATCGAATGGATTCTTCTTCTAGGGTTTGAAATCATGAATCCAGGTATGTTTTCCAAACAAACACTATTTTCTGTAATTAATGTATTTATTTTACCATCCTCCAATCTTTAGCAGAAATTGAAAGATGTTTTTATTATGATATTCTATTTTTCCATAACTCAAATTGTATGAACCTATTGAAATTCATCTCTCTAATTTAATTTTTCTTTGTGTTCCCATATTGGGAAAACTTGCCTAAGCACCTTTCAGATTCAGTTCTGGAGTTATTAGTATCACCATTAGACTATTTACGATTCAGTATTATTTGTAAGTCGTGGCATTCTGTAGCAAAGGACAATGAAAGTAAACTCGCTAAGATGACAACTCCAATGGCTTGATCTAACACAGTGCTGCTTATACAACCTTATGGATAATGAGGTTCTGAATTTGCAAATAAGAATGTCCAAGAAGAAAATGAGATTTTGTGGTTCTTCAAAAGGATGGCTAGTAGCTGTGGAAGAAAATTTTGTAGTAACCTTATTGAATCCATTCTCTATGGTTAAAGGGAGGGAAAAGAAAGAAAATTCAATCATTCGTCTTCCAATCATTCGTTTTCCTCCATTAACACCTCCTGAACGGGGAAAGGAGCACTGGGCTAAAAATTGTGACTATTATCTCTACAGAGCCACAATTTCAGCAGATCCAATATTAAATGCAAACGACTACATTGTTTTCGTAATATACAGGCTAGATCGTGAATTGGCTTATATTAGGCTTAATAAGGACTCAACATGGACTAAAGTAGAAACCCTGTTAAATGAAATTGACGATGTCATTCACATTGAAAATGAAGTTTATGTTATCGATGATGATGGTAATCTTTTATCATGTGATATGCCTTATGACTCATTTGTGAATTTGGAAGCGGATGGCAAGGGGGCTGTCGCGAAGAAATATCTTGTGTATTCAAATGAGAAAGAATTATTAATGATTCAAAGGTCTTTGGTAGTGCAAGGTGGCAATAATGTTGCGACAAGGAAGTTTATAATCTTCGACATGAATTTCGACAAGTGTGAGTGAATTGAGAAAGAAACGTAAGGTGATGCTGCTCTTTTTGTTGGTGATAACTCCACGATATATGTTCCAAATTTAAAGGTTGCAGGATATCAACTGAATTGCATATACTTCAACCATGATACTATTCGTGGAGCATGCTAGAAGTTTGGACTTAATAATTTTGGATGTCAAAATTTTGGTGTGTATAACGTCAAAAATCAGAGCATATCAAGGCCTTAACGCCGAAGATGCTATGACCCTAGAGAAGATGACCAATCGTCCTCCAATTTGGGTTGTGCCAACCTGTCAACTGTAAAAACTTCTATATTTATTATTGTTCTTTTCTTAATTCGTCGTTTCCTTCTCTTGTAAAGTAACTCTACTATTTGCTAACGGATATATATATATATATATATATATATATTTTATCGAAAGGAATGAAACTTCATTTCCAAAACAAAGATACAAAATACAGGGGAGCCCAAATAAAAATAAAATTATGGGGTCCTCTCATTCAAGTGTTGAGTTAGGGTGAGCAGTGGGTTGAATTCTTGGTTGTTGATTTGGAAACAATTTAACAAATTAGCCTTCAGCGTGAAAATGAAAGCAGACACAAAAACAAACAACTTGCTATAAAGAGGAGCCAATTTTGTGTCAACTTAATTTGCAGATACATTTTGTAAGAGAACCAAAACTTATCTTATATATGACCAATACGAAATTAATGTCCTCATAGTGAGGTCTCTGATTCCAGCAATCTAAGACATTTCCCCACCTGGGATATAGTTGTTTGATTGGGAGTCAGATTACTTAAGAAGCAAGTTTTCATTTGTTTCTCAACGTATTAGGCTTTCTCAAGTGCTAACGCTCGCATCTAACACAATCTCTTGGCCTATTGTCAAGGATAGGACAATCCGGAGTACACAATAAATGGCCAATGCTTAGAAAAACTCTGTCCTCATAATGAGGCCTCTCCAATCACAGCAATATTGCGTACCACTGCAAACGCATCATAAGCTATTATGTAATCAGAGGCAGTGGGGAGTTCCAGGCTTGCTCTTAAGCGGGATTAGTGCAGCCACTATCATTTTTCATGTCAAGGAAGTGAAACTAACAAGGAGCAAAAACCTGAAATATAATGCCATGTTTCCAGTGAAAATACACAGGTTCAGCAAAGGGAGTTCTAAAGCATTTCCAAAACATGAATACGAAAACATAAAGATGATAGCAAAACAACCAAAACCAACGAAATCATCAGATCGTATAATGTGGGTGAAAAGAAACGAAGCATATTCGCACAATGGGAAGTTTTAGCCCTTCAGACAGAATTTGTTCCTTAGCGTTTGGAGTTCATCAGTATTGGTTGTGTCCAACCATTCACCACGGGAATGTTTACAAATATTCCTGTTCCAAACAAACTCCACATTAGTAAGGAAGAAACTGCTTGCCATATGAGGTCAAAAGAAAGAAATTAGTAGCGCAAAAGAAAAAGGATAAAGAAAATTTACAGCATCAACTGGTTCAGCCTGTTCAGCGGTTTAAATTCCCAGCCCTAAACTGGGATATCATCAGGGAAGTACGGTTTACTGCAGTAAACATACTCAATCCTTATATTAAATAAATAAAATGAACATACTCAATCCTTTCAAGATAAATCATGAATAGGAATATAAACTTTATACAATGCTGTAATCCTATCACAGGATATCAAATAAGAATAATCACTGCTTTGCATATTCACAGATAATAGAACAACCCTCCCTATATACAGTGGCGGATCTAGAAATTTTTCAGGGAAGGGGCAATAAATAAAAGACTAAAAACACAAAAATAATTAAATAATTAAACAACCAAATACCTTTAGAATCTAACGAAGATTAATCTAAATAAAAAAAATCTAAAAAAATTAATTTTAATTAATCTAATTGAAATGCATATCAAATTATCAATTAAACAAATACAAAGAGAGCCAAATCAGTAATAATAATATATATATTTTGTGGTCATAAATTGTGATTTCATTAAATGACTTTAGTAGTGGCAAGGTTCCAAACATTAAAATAGATGCTAAGTGCAGTGATTCTATTGGGTGAATGAAAATGGTAGAGATTATATGGAATTAAATTATAAGGCAGAGTTTTGGGGATTTTACAAACCAAATGGTAGTGTCTTTATTGTATGAAACCAGACTACACGAAACACATCGTTTCATTAAAAAAAACCCACGCATCTCAATCCGACGTCGTTCACTTAAAACCTAGAGGAAAACAAAAGTTGAGTCAGGGTTGGGTCTTCTTCTTCGAGAGGAATAAGCCATTGACGGCGCCTCATAGAGCTTACATACCATAGCTGTTGTGGGCATTAGCAGAGGGGCATTTTCAGGCACCTCCAAAGCTTTTTCCGGCGAAGGGAGGTGCAGCTGCACCTCTTTGCGCCTCTGTAGATCCGCCAGTGCCTATATACATGTTTGGAATTTAAAAAAATTTAAAAAAAATTGCGACAGAGATTTTGTGTTGCGAAACCCAGGAACATCATTTAGAATATAGTACACAAGGTGAGATTTCAAAGGACGTATATTACATTAGAATATTAGTATTCCAGAGTTCTGAACTTTGTAATGGTCAACTTCAGATCATAAGCAATTTGCCACAAGAAGGAATGATGCTACTAATTACACTAAAGGAGCAGTGCTTCAATAGAGACACGAAAGCAAACATCAACCACATGAATGCATTCAACAAAAATGTACTAATTCAAGCAAAAATTTTACTATTTTCTGTTCATATTGGTGCTTCCAAAAAGAAAAAAAAACCTATTATATGAGTTAATAGAATGTTGAATTAAGACCAGCACCACATATGAACAAAAGCAGGAAGTAAAATTCTATTAGCAGGAAAAATCAAATTCATACAGAGAGTAGCAGGATTCCACATAGTTCTGATATCTGTAGCTTTAAGAGATGGAGACTCATCTGGACAGCATTCAATCTTCTCCTCTCCTCAGATTCAGACATATTGCTTTCTGGTATTTCCCAGATATTTCTACCCAAGTTATGTGAAATAAAGGCCACTTCATCAATTATTTAAATTACACAAGCAATTGAGCTGCTTGCTGAAGGGTCAAGAACGAGACACACCCAGGAACTAGGCCACAATTTGATTTTCCCTCTAATACAGTCTCAAGCTCCTCCAGTTTGATGCGTTTTGGAAATGAAGAAGGCATTACCTAAGCCGTTGTCTTTTCAATCTTGAGGAAGTATGGACACGAGTTCCAGAATGAGATCGCTCAGAAGTGATTCATCAGGCAAGAGCCTTGCAGTACACATCCAATAAAAACACAAATTTACCATTCACAGAAGGGATAAGTGCCCAATTCAACCCGTTCATAAGAATCTGGCCCATGCCTTTGATACACAAAATCATCCAAAATATTTCCAAGAGCATAGAGTTTTCCCAAACCACTGATTGACTGCTAATAGTAAACATATAAAAAAGGATTAGATAAGAACATTAGATGACCGAACAAATAAAATGGATTACAATAATGCATGTGTGTGTACAAATAGAAACTCACCCAATAAAGAGTAAAGAGTTTAGCCAAACATAATTTCAGAGCACTCCTTCCTAACAAATTAAGAATAGATCCTATTCCAACAGGGACAGCAATCCTAGACTTGCTTGCTTCCAGTTATCAAGCAGGATGAGATTTTTCTTTTCCGTTCTCTTTTTAATTAAAAGAAAGGAACTTTTATTGAATCAAACTCAAACTATACAAGCAATGGAAAAGAAGTCCATTTCTATTTTCTGAAGTACAAAACAAACCAAAACAAAAGTGAATCAAAGTCAGTTATTAATTATTATTATTATTTTTGGTTTTAAAGAAGGAAAGTCTAACAGATAGCTACCTTCCAGTAGTATAATAGAAGGCAGACAAGTGTGCAGGCCTAAACACACTGGAAACAGAGGAAAAGTGATGATAAAAAAGACTTACTAACATTCTACGGAGTCTGGGCATTTTACATCCCAGCAGCACAAATGACTCACTATAGTATTTTAGATACATGTATTGCAACTTGATCCATATTTCACTCACTCTAGACAACCATGCTGACAGTGTGTATATATTACGAACATACATCACAGTGCTTGTATTTCTGTCATTGTATAATCAATAAATTGATATGGTTAAGTGAGCCGACTTATATTCTAGATGTTAGAATATTCCAACAGATCAATGCTAAGATACAGGTAGAAGCCACCTACATTATAAAAGGGTTTTCTTTTCCCATAGAATCCTGTATATGCCATTCTGATAGTAAGAAACATTTAAGCAGTCCAATGAAAGGGGTTTAGGATGTTTCGGATACTTAGATGCTACCTGCTACAAATTTTTAACTTGTTTGTTTACATGCCAGATCTCGAACAGAAAACTTGGACCATTGGGATAAGTACTCTTAGAAAGTTCAGACAAAGCTAAGCTTCCTCTGTTAGAAATGATAAAAAATGATAAGAGGAATGACAGCACACAAATTCAAAATGCAACAACATTAACGAAACAGGCATCCATCATAGCTCTTCTAGTTTCATTATCTGTACAAGTATATCATGTAATTCTCCAGCAGGATCTTTCTTTAAAGATGGTAGCTTCTCCTGCACCCTCTTCCATCACAGCACTTATATTGAAAAAAATATTTCTAAGAACACCAAACTTATCATAGAAGCAATCAAATTGAAGAAGAAGAAATTACATATTATAACAAGTAAAAGCCCCAAAGAAAAACTAGTGATTCACCATATTTTAGTTTAGACTTTGTTTCGAGAGCCATCTATTTATAAAATTTTGAGGGCTAACTTTCGTGCCTATAAGATGTATTTAATGACTGGGCAACATGTTATAGGATCAAATTGGCACATTTACAATAATAAATAATAATAATAATAAAAAACAAAAACAAAAAAGGATATAATTCTAAACAGTAACCAGAATCCATAGAAAAGGAAAAGGCTGCAAGAAGAAGTATGTAATAATAGCATAACACTAACATCACAAAAATTGAAACATCTCTTACAATTCACCAGCAACCTCAAAACAGCAAATGGGATACAAACAAAAACTAATTGGGGCACCTAGGAAGCTAATTACCCAAAATGAAAAGGTTACCCAAATAATGAAGCAGCTCCTCTTCGCTTTGCAACACCAAATCTGAAAGTTGTTTGCAATGGCGAGACCACTTGAGAGAGAAAGGACTGAAAATCTGAAAACCAAAAAGAACACACACTTTTAAGTGTGCCTTGCCAGGGTAGCGGAAAAAGGCTAAAAAGCCCTCATTGTGAAAAATAAATAAATCATTTTAAAAACTAACGAAAATCATTAAACAGCAAGAATGCCGACGTAGAGGGAGACGAGAAAGAGAGAGCTCATTCTCTCTGTGCGCTTTGTAAACAGAGCGCGAAACTCACATCACACTAATGCAGTTAGACATGAACTATATAAAGAGCTCTAAGCTCTCTCTCTCATTTCTCACAGAGAGAGACAGAATGTGAGAGCGAGCTAGAGAGAGAAGGTGAGAGCGAGAGGGAAGGCGAGAGCGAGTTAGAGAGAGAGTGATGGAGTCTATTTCAAGGTAACTATCTGAATTTGATTACTACTTTCTCGCTCAATTTCAATTTATTGCATCGTTTAACTATTGCATGTCAATTTAATTTTGAATTAATGGAGCTTGAACTAGCTAATTTTCAATGTTTGATTTCTGGAGCTTGAACTAGCTAATTTTCAATATTTGATTTCTGGAGCTTTAAATTTTTAGTTTGAGAGGTGAGTGATAGAGAGCAAAAAAGTAGTCTTTTCTAGCGGTAATTATATGAATTTACTTTCTCTTAATTTTAGTATCGCTGGAGTGTTCATTTCGTGACCAGTAAATTTAAAGTTGATTATTACTTTCTTGCTCAATTTCAATTTATTGCCTCATTTAACCATTGTATGTCAATTTAATTTTGAATTAATGGAGCTTGAACTAGCTAATTTTCAATGAATGATTTCTAGAGCTTTCAATTTTTAGTTTGAGAGGTGTACCGATAGAGAGCAAAGTTGTTATCTTTTGTAGTGGTAATTCTATGAATTTTCACTTTCTCTTAATTTCAGTTTCCATAATTTTAAGCTCTGTCATTTGTAGGTTAATTCATTGATTTTCAACTGGAGATAGAGAACCAAGAGCTTTTAGTGAATGCAAATGTCTGTGCAGAATGCGAAGGTTTGGTCACATTTGGAAATGCAGCTTAGAAACAAGAGCATTATATGCAATTCCACCCGAAGATACAAACTTCAGCTAAGAATGAGAAACGAAATAAGAAAGCTGATAAAGATAAGGCTTGCAATTTGTGCACAAAGATGTCTACCTCTGCTGGTGATTTGTTCAACCACCAGAAGCATCATCGAGGTTGATTTCACACGGTGTGCACCAAACCTAAATGCAAGAAGAAGTTTACTACTGAAAGTGATTATCAGAATCACTTGAAGGGGTCCAAGCTGATGAGGAAACTTGGACGTAGTAGAAATGAAAATCGTCAGTCTCAACGAGCAGCTGGTTTGGTTGGTTTGTTGGAGACCATGCGTGTCCAGATGAATCAACACCAAGCACAGCAAACAGAAAGCAGCCTATTTGCACCCTTTCAAGTGATTCTGATAATCACTTTGAGTAGTAAACTTCTTCTTACATTTAGGCTTGGTGCACACCGTGTGAAATCGACATCGATGATGCTTTTGGTGGTTGAACAAATCACCAGCAGAGGTAAACATCTTTGTGCACAAATTGCAAGCCTTATCTTTATCAGCTTTCTTCTTTCGTTTCTCATTCTTAGCAGAAGTTTGTATCTCCGGGTGGAATTGCATATAATGCTCTTGTTTCTGAGCTGCATTTCCAAATGTGGCCAAACCTTCACATTCTACACAGGCATTTTCATTCACTAAAAGCTCTTGGTTCTCCATCTCCAGTTGAAAATCAACGAATTAACCTACAAATAACAGGTTGAAAATGACAGCTTAAAATTATGGAAACTGAAATTAAGAGAGTGAAAATTCATAGAATTACCACTACAAAAGATAACTTTGCTCTCTATCGGTCCACCTCTCAAACTAAAAATTGAAAGCTCTAGAAATCACACATTGAAAATTAGCTAGTTCAAACTCCATTAATTCAAAATTAAATTGACATACAATAGTTAAACGAGGCAATAAATTGAAATTGAGCAAGAAAGTAATAATCAACTTTAAAATTACCGATCACGAATTGAACGCTCCAGCGAAACTGAAATTAAGAGAAAGTAAATTCATAGAATTACCGTTAGAAAAGATAACTACTTTTTTGCTCTCTGTCACTCACCTCTCAAACTAAAAATTTCAAGCTCCAGAAATCAGATATTGAAAATTAGCTAGTTCAAGCTCCAGAAATCAGACATTGAAAATTAGCTAGTTCAAGCTCCATTAATTCAAAATTAAATTGACATGCAATAGTTAAACAATGCAATAAATTGAAATTGAGCGAGAAAGTAGTAATCAAATTCAAATAGTTACCTTGAAATCGACTCCATCGCTCTCTCTCTAACTCGTTCTCGCCTTCCCTCTCTCTCTCTCTCTAACTCGCTCTCACCTTCTCTCTCTAGCTCGCTCGCTCTCACATTTTGTCTCTCTCTCTCTCTCTCTCTCTCTCTGTGAGAAATAAGAACTGGAAATGAGAGAGAGAGAGCTCAGAGCTCTTTATATAGTTCATGTCTAACTGCATTAGTGTTCGTTCTTCCTAGTGTGATGTGAGTTTTGCGCTCTGTTTACAAAGCGCTAAAACAGAGAGAATGAGCTCTCTCTTTCTCGTCTCCCTCTACGTCATCGTTCTTGCTGTTTAATGATTTTCGTTAGTTTTTAAAATGATTTATTTATTTTTCACAATGGGGGCTTTTTAGTCTTTTTCCGCTACCCTGGCAAGGCACACTTAAAGTGTGTGTTCTTTTTGGTTTTCAGATTTTCAGTAATCTCTCTCTCTCTCTCTCTCTCTCTCTCGTATTGTTTAACTTGGCAAAACAACCCCCGACTTCTCTCTGTTCTTATCTCTTCAAGACCTTAATTCTCTCCCTATCCCCACATTCCACAATATTTGCCCCCAAATAAGCAATCACAAAATGAGCATTCTTCTTAGATTTCCATCAATTTCAGCTATCAAGATTCAACCTTTTCACCACTAATTTACAACCCCTAAAGCTTTCTTTCTACTGTTCCAAGCCTTAAACCCATAATTCTTTCAACCCTAGCGCCCACCACATAAAACCAAGGTTGAGTTTCCTAAACTACCATACATCACTATGAAGTAAACCAAAACTACATTTTATTTTACAGAACAAATTCTGAAATCTGAGAGCTTTTAAAACAGAATGGAGATCCTAACTCCAGAAAGCTTTTAAAACCCAACCAATCAAGCAGAAAGTGACTTGGCAATGTAAATGAATGCAGTTCTTTTGTAGATTTTGACAGAGCCGCGTTGCCATGGCAAAGAACCAAAAGTACTAACCTCAGTCAACTTTCCCCCATCTAACATATCAAAGACACTGAGAAGCAGTTTCTCATACAGTCTAATGTTCAAGTGACAACCATCTGCCCAGTGACATACTTCACCAGTTAAGTCACCACGAACAGGCCTCTCAGCAAGTGGAGTGGCAATCTCTCGAAGAGATCTTAAGCATTCTGTTCGTTGGAGTTCACCTGTGGAAGGTGGAAGAAACTACAATCAAAAGAGAAAGGAAAGGGGGCGAAATGAAAAACAAAACAAATATAATTATACCAAAAGCAACATGCAAAAAATTGAGATGGAAACATGCTTGAAATGGAGACCAAATATTTTAAGTACCAAATTTGACTGAAACCACCAAGTTATAAAATAAATCATTGTTATAAAAAATTATGGGCCGGAGTTCACATGGTGGTAAAACAGGAAACGGGTGCTAATTTGTTAGTTTATAACAAAAGAACACCTAAGGCCCAACTATATGCCACATGAGCCATAGTTGACATGGTAAAACAGTGACTGGGACTGGGTAGCCTTTAGGTCATTTTCTTCTTTTTCTATTTTTCTTGTTTACCAAAAACACAGAGAGAGAGAGAGAGAGAGAGAGAGAGAGAGAGAGAGAGAAGAAAAGTTTAACACCCAAACAAGATCAGTAGAATTCTTTTTAATAAGAGATAAAAATACAAGAGAAATGCACAAAAATTCCATCATATTCCACATACACCCTCAAAGAAAAACACAAGTTGCACTAATGTTTAACAACCCACTGCCCCTATTTCTGGTGTTTCCAAAGCAAATAAAAGGTTTAAGACCCAAATATTTCCATTATAATCTTATAATTATATAAAGTAGAACAAATGGTTTTCGCGTGTTAGTTAAGAGAATAAATGATTGGGTAAGGGAAATTTTAGTTGTCTATTATTGTGATAGAGAGCATTCCAGCCATTTAGACGAACAGAAGATATACCTCAGATTCTTCAATTTTTGCTAAAAGAATCCTAAACTCACTTGCCTTCCGTCCAGACTCCCCAAATCCAACAGCAGGGAAATTAAGAAGCCCTTCCTCCAACATATTCAACTGTGAAAACAAATCAGAATTTCTCAATTTGGATCTCATGTGCAAATATGGTCACCCTTCCAATTTCACCAAATAGGAAATTTACATGGCCAATAAAACGTATCAACACAAAATGAAAGATTGTAAGGAACAGAACTTACCTGCCTTTTCTGCCACCGTATATACGCCTTCTTGTCAGAAAATTCTGTTTGTGAAATACAACAGAGAAGTTCCAGAGGAACCAATAGGGCATCCATTCTTTTTCCCACTTTTCCAGCTAGGGCATTAAGCAGCCCTTGTCTAGTTCTGATATCCATTGCCTCAGATATCTGCATTTACGAGTACGGGAAAAGAAATCATTAAATCAATATGAATCCAACGAAATACAGTTCACCAAAACTGCATAAAAAATCATATTTGAAGACAGCAATGATTTCAGAACCCCTCTGGCTGACGCCACATCAATTACAAACCAATAATGAGGTACAGAAAGGGTCACAATAAGATGAATACATTCAGTGGGGACCCGAACAAGGAAAGAAACAACAGACCCACTTATAAAATTTTACAGTGGATAGCAGCTTGAAGTGACAGCCAGTAATGCATACAAGATTAACATATGCATGTACCAAATCTTGTATTGCTGGGCTACGATAAAGAAAAATTATGCAACAGCACATGACTTGGAACTAGCACAACCAGATGATTGTTTACAATATGGTCCATTCTCCAGTGAACTAATAAGCTTATACATGACGCTCAGCCTTTTAGTCTTAGTAATTAACCCTCCGGTTTCAAAAGAAAAACATGCCATGCAGTCCTCCTTTGTGCTCACATAGTTCTTAAGTATTCTACCATATGTGCTCTCATTTAATATGCTGGACTGAACTGGACTATTTCAATTTGATTGTAATGTAGTTCTTCCTATTGTATTAACCTTACTACTATCATGGGTCTGGTACTGTCAGGACTAAGACGCCGGATAATCTGTACGGTGTTACGTATTTTACTGTATAAGGTAACCAACAGAACTAAACAATGATTAAATAATTTCTAAAAGTAATCTTATTTAGGAAGCTTAATAATGCCTTCTATCATATTTGTAACTATCATTTATAAATATCATTCATCTCCAATGCTTATCAAACACCGCTTATTTGAAAGTTTTACAAACTACTCCTCAAAATCAATACACCCATTCGGGATGATGGAGGAGTTCCAACCCCTCGGTCTTCCATTTTTAATAACACAAATTAATTGAACATTAATGGCATGTTACTTACTTTAAGTCATAAATCAGGGAAGTCGAGAAATTCCCCCCTAATCAATCTAATTCATGGTTTTTCAATTATTGGATTGCGAATTTTAATGTAAAACTCACATAAATTTTGATTTCTCATGTGTTAGTAAACCCAGGGGAAGTCTGGAATCGGAATAATTCGAACACCATTCCCAGTTAAGTAAGCATGCCATAAAAGGGGAGGAAAAGGGAGAAGAAATAGAGCGGTAATACCTCCATTTGAAAAGCAAATGACTACTAAATACCTCCATCTGGACACGCATGGTCTCCAACAAACCAACCAATCCAGGTGCTCGTTGAGACTGACTCAAAGGATTTTCATTTCTACTACGTCCAAGTTTCCTCATCAGCTTGGACCTTTTGTCTTTCTTTTTCTCTTTTGACGGCACAATCAGACCCCTGTTCAGACAGAGAGAATGCAAGCATGGATGGTGTCATGTCAGAACTAAACTAAGTACACAAATAGACCAGCAATCACAACAGCATTTCCTTGATTTACAAGAAAACAAAAAATATTTGCAGACCCAATAAGAAAATGAAAGTATACCCTGCAGCACCAGCACATGCCAAAAGGACTTCATATGCAGTTTCACGGAGATCATCTTCTGTGATACCTAAACAAGAAAAGGAGGGAAAAAAAATTATGACAACCATCCCATGCTTTTTAGTGTCAACTTTCATCAATCATCCTAGGGGCTAGGAATGCAGTCTTTGCTACTGATTGCCAAATATGTGGAAAAAGCAGACAGATGCATCTGTATAGGATACCTGTAGATTACTCTATACCTCTTTAATACTTCCTAACATGCCAAATATTTTAAAAAATGCATCCAAACATAAATAATAATTAAAAATAAAATCATGGTCTCGAATTGGGCAGTTGTTATAGACTGAAACATAGCAAAGGGTCATATGAGATATGTTTTACTCTTTGAGTTATACATAAATTAAAAATGCTTGTATGATGAATCTACCACACTATATGAGTATAACAATCTGGGAGAACTTTGAAAAAAATGTATGTAAATATATATACATTGATCTACATGTATGTGCATTTAGCATGGTGGCGATATTGCAGTCTACTCTTTCCAGAATATTTACATTTCAATGTATCCAACATCCATATCCAACCTTCCTTGTGCAAAAGAAACAGACCATTAATATCAATATTCATCATGAAAATCTCCAAAACCCAATATCTTCAAATCCATTATTCCATTAATATCATCAGAATCTTACGCAAGATGTGGTTAATGATACAGAATTTAAAGTGTGTTTGCTCGGTAGAGGATAGGGTGTCTATCTAGAGGTGGGACCATTGCCCTAACTATGTTGGTCTTTAAGTAGTATTCCTTTTTCATGTCTCTCTTTCGAATGTCAAGTAGAGTAGGTTTCGGAAAAAAATGATGTGGGAAATCCTATTGATGCATAGCTCTGTTTTGCATTGGTTGTCGATTCGTCGTCGAGTAGTCTAGCTAGCAACTACTAGTTAGTTTAGAATTAAAAAGTCAACCAATGACCATAAATTCAAAGCTTATTGTACTATTTGAATCTGGTACTTCTACTGAATTCAGTGTAGTTTTTCATGGTTAAGTATAATGTACTTTGACTAGATTTATATGGTATGCATATAAGCTGGTATTGGTTAAGATAGTAGGAATGATGATATCAAAGTACACAACTTTTTATTTGAGAGCTAACTCTCTCTAGATTTTTTTTTCTTTCCTTTCTTGTTCGATAAGTTAAGGCCAAAATTTAATGTATCCGCACCTACCTCTTTATCACATGAGCCCACACCCAAGGGCCATCATGTGGGAAGTGTAGGTCATTAATTAGACTAGTTTCATGCAGGGGAAATTTTACATAATTTAGTTTTGATACAATTTCAATGGCTTTAAAATCTATTACCTGTCTTAAAAGAAGGCAATCCAAGCGAAAGATCAGTAGCATCGTTTCGCATCCTTCTTGAAATCCGGAGACTGTCAGCCTCATCAATATCCTCGAAATCTTCAATATCATCTACAGTCAGTTCTTAGGCTTGTGTGTAGTTAAAAGATTCGGACTTTGACACACTTGATGCAACCGGAGATGAGTCAAGGTCAGGAATAGATGATAAGACACCAGGAGGTAGAGTTAGAACAGGAGGTGGCACGAAGTCCGGAACAGGTGGTGGTGCCCGTTTTGGAGGAGAACCGGAAAACTCAGGATTTGTAACCAAAAAGAATTGACCAGCAGAACCTGTACTGTTCTGGTAAAGTGGAAAAATTAACAGAATGGGTATAATTTAAGCAAACAAATTAACAGGAACAAGAGGAAATTAACCTTGATAATACGCAAAAGATAACTAATTAGAAAATAAATTTTTGTTGTGATTATCCTAATCCAAATTACAAAACAAAAAACAAAAAATATAAATCAACCAGAACCCAGAAAAGATGAGCATAAATAATGAGCACAGGAGCTGCAGAAGGAAAGACTATTAATTGGGAATTCTATTTCCTTGATTGGTCCTAATTTGGATCCACATTATTAAAAACAAAAGGGGTAATAACAACACTAAATCTCCAACCAGATTTGAACTCCAAAGCTGACAAAAGTTTTCACTAATCAACATGAGAATAATTCACTAATCATGTCTTAAATTGCACTTACCATCTGGGGTAACCCAGTATGGTCATGGTAGTCTCTAATAGCTTCCGAGAGTTCAAGCATTCCACCTACATAACAAAAATGGTGTCTATATATGTAAAGAAAGAAACCTAACAAAACCAATAGTCGAAATCAACAATAAACAAACCAGATAAACCACCTTTCTTAGCACAATTGAGCACATAATCAACACTAACTTGGCCTAGATCCACATCTAGAGTAACCGCACCAGGAGGCATTATCACCTTCTTTATTAAGCTACCGGCAAGTATAAAATCCAGAAGTATTCGCCTGTCCCGACGATACCGTTGCAAAAGCTCCACGGCATTCTCCCTACATTCCATTACCAAATTGAAGTTTTCTTTTTGTTGTTTCAGCAAAGCAAAATTCTTTCAAAATAAAAAGCAAGACTTACTCTTCCATCTGAAATTTATTCCAACTCTGCTACCTGACAAATACCCCAAAACAGGAAAACTCAAGCTTCACAGAGTGGCATAGCTTGCTCTGTGTGAAAAGAAAAGAAAATGAAACTTAAAGACGGGGCTCCATTTCTTAGAAGCATAAGAGAAGATCCGTTTCCGTTCGGCGGCTATGATTTCAGAGAAGAAAATGAAACTGGAGAATCAGAAGAAGCATGTCCGAATTGTTTACCTCAGTTTTTCTCAGCAACCAAACAGAGCATTGGAGCTTAAATGAGTGAGAGAGAGAATCACGGGACTCAAAAATGTAGAGGAGGAAAGCAAGTGAAACGGCGAGTTTTGACCGCTGTTGAGGTTGAGTTGGGTTTGGTATCTTCAAGCACAAGTCCCGGCAGGCAACGGGTTCTGAAAGAGATAAAGAGTAGGGGTGGGCATCGGGACCGGAAAACCAGAACATCTAACCGAATCGGTGGAAAAAAAACCCATTGAGAAAAAAAATCAACAAATCACACCGAAATGGTTCCAACCGGTTTTGGTTCCGGTTTTACACCTCACCACACCGAACCGGACTGGTCATTTTTTTTTTTTTACAAATTTTTAAAATCTAATGCCATATTTTAAATTTTATAATCACTATTTTTCTAAGTTCAACTTCAAAAAATTTATGAAAGTATGAATTGGATTATTTGTTAATTTTTAAGCTAAAAAAAATAAGTTATTTATTATAATTTTTTATAAAAAAATTTAATTTAAAATTTAAAATTTTTTTTAAATTAATAATAAATTAATAATCCAGTTCAAAACCGGAATCGGTCAGAATCGAACCAGCCAATTTTTGAAATTGTTTTTGCCTAAATCGGACCGAACCAAACCTGTTAAATAGTATTGGTTCCGGTTCTGATTTGAGGTGAGAATTGGACCGCCCCCACCCCTAATAGAGAGAGCAAATCCCAGTCGACGAGATTTGGATCTAAAAAGCTTTTTTTAATTATTTGTGGAAAAAGTAACTATTTGGGAATTTTACTATTTACAATTTACCTGTCGAAATTCTAAGGAAGGTACGTGGGTTTCCTAATTCCAATAGACAACAGTTTCCTAAGTCTAATAAAATCCTATTCTTCAAAGGAGTACTAGAATACAATATATATATATATAGATGAAAGCTTTTCGTTTTCTAAACAAAATCGAAAGGATCCTTCTTCTAGGGTTTGAAATCATGAATCCAGGTATGTTTTCCAAACAAACACTATTTTTTGTAATTAATGTATTTATTTTACCATCCTCCAATCTTTAGCAGAAAGTGAAAGATGTTTTTATTATGATATTCTATTTTTCCATAACTCAAATTGTATGAACCTATTGAAATTCATCTCTCTAATTTAATTTTTCTTTGTGTTCTCATATTGGGAAAACTTGCCTAAGCACCTTTTAGATTCAGTTCTGGAGTTATTAGTATCACCATTAGACTCTTTACGATTCAGTGTTATTTGTAAGTCGTGGCATTCTGTAGCAAAGGATAATGAAAGTAAACTCGCTAAGATGACAACTCCAATGCGCTTGATCTAACACAGTGCTGCTCATACAAACTTATGAATGATAAGGTTCTGAATTTGCAAATAAGAATGTCCAAGAAGAATATGAGATTTTGTGGTTCTTCAAAAGGATGGCTAGCAGCTGTGGAAGAAAATTTTGTAGTAACCTTATTGAATCCATTCTCTGTGTTTAAAGGGAGGGAAAAGAAAGAAAATTCAATCATTCGCCTTCCTCCACTAACACCTCATGAACAGGGAAAGGAGCACTGTGTTAGATTTCTTTATATACATGTTCAAGATCTTTCACACAATCTGAAATACGTAAAAACATACCTGAAGCCACCTTTCTTGAGTACACGACCTCTGAACTCATTCAATCCGTAGCAACAACAATCCCAGCAAGCACAGGAACGGCTCAAGACTTCTGCTCTCTCTCAGAATATGCTTCAGCTCTCTCTTTATGATGAGATTAGGGTTAGAGAACGTGTCTGATGAGAGCAGGGCCTTACCTTATATAGGACTAGGTCAAGTCGTCTCTACTCATCACCGAGGGGCGACTTGACTAATCTTCCAAGCCTACCAAAACGGTTCTCACAAAAAAGGAAATAAATAGGACCCATTAATAGGCTTCAAAACCCTTCCTTATTCCATAAGGTTTTGGGCCTCAAGGTATAACTTAATTTAAACTCTTATCAAAACATAATATAACTTAGTATCTAGTGCATCAATCTAAATAGGAAAACATAACATTCTCCGACTAGATCAAGCACTAGAGCACTAAGTTTCTGTATTCCAAAAGGTTTGATAATCTTTATTGGCCACGAGTTTAAAACAGTTAAGTCATTCCCCTCAAGCTACAGTGAAAAGTGATTAGACAAAATGAACTATAGACAAACACTGCTCTCTTTATTAAAAACATGTCATCTATAATCACATAATGCAATCTCAAAACACATGAAGCACCTACAAATGTGAACCTTAATATGTACTGATCCGTAATGTGAATCTTTATGCTTTTCAGTACATGTACCCCTTTACGACGTAGCAAGAGTCAATCCGCAATGTTATTAAAACTATAGTATCTTAAAAGAGACCATAAACTCAGATGCATAAACAAAATTGCATAATAAGTTTAAACAGCTAAATAGTCAAAATGGTAGAATTTATTCAATAATAAATAAAACTGTCAAACAAATTAACATCCATAAATGCAAATCCCTCAATCTAGAAAACAACAAAATAAACAAACTAGTAAAATATCATAATGGGAACAAGACTTCCACTAGATTGCAGCATCAAAGCTAGGAAATAATCTCATGCTCTCAACATGCCTCAGAAAAGCTTTTGAAGGCAAAAACTTTGTGAACAGATATGCAATCATATCTTGAGTTTTGATATGATCAAACCTGACTAGTTTGTCTGCTACCTTCTCCCTCATTATTATACATTTTCTGTCAATATGTTGAAGTCCAAATGACATCTTGTTGTTCACGTAGTGAAAAGCAGCCGCAGTGTTGTCATTATATATCTGTATTTGTCTAGAAATCGAGTCCATTACTTAATGTCTTTAATAAATTCCTTGGTCATACTGCATGAGAAGTGGCTTCATAGCAATCTGTGTATTAGGAAAACATTGTGGGTACAGCGAGAGAGGGTTTATGGTGACTGGGGGTATCGCGAGAGAGAAGAGATGGAGTTTGAAGGTGAGAAGGATGAGAGCTCAGAGTGACTCTGTGATTGGGTATCATGAGAGAGGAGAGGGAAATTTTTGGTGAGAGTGGGGGGAATCTGAAATATTCACGAGGGATTGAAATTTTTTAGCGAAAAATCACTGTAGCGGTCAACTAAGCTTTTGGCATCGGAGCTAAATGTGGCGCTTAAATTTATTTTTCGTACAATCATTTTACGCATCAGTATATTTCTGTCACATATGCTAAGTATAATCAATGGCATCGGTAGGAAAAACCAAAAATTTGTGCTGATGCCTTTATATACTTTTAGTCTTATTATTTATAAAACCAATGTCTAATATACAAACAGCATCCGTATTTCATTTCGCCAATGCCTATGTAGTGTCGCGGAAAGTGAATTTTGGCATAGTGGGTTGAACTAGAAACACCAGATTGTTTAGCACTCTTCCAAGCACCAGCTGCTCCTGCCATCTTGAAAAGAAAACCAAAAGTAGAGATGTAATCATCCTCTGCTTTTCCAAGATTCGCATCAGCATTACCAACAAGCTCTAAATTCTCTGTGCATTTGTAAATCAACATATAAGCCTTTGTTGTCCAGAATCTTCTTCTTCTTTATTCTTGGGCAATGCTCCTTCGTTAAATCTCTTTTAGCTAGCGGAACTTTCTGTCCATAACACATACTCATGTCAAAACACTTGAGTATCCTTTCAATGTATGTTTTCTGCGACAGGCCTAAGAGACCTCCAGCTTAGTTTCTCTGAATTTCAATGCCTAACACAAAACGGCTTCTCCCAAATCCTTCATCTCAAAATTGTTTGAAAATAGTTATTTAGCCTCTTTCCATAAATTGTGCTCATTTGTAGCCAAAAGTATATCGTCAACATACACCACTAGAAAAGTAAATCAGCTTCCACACTTCTTCAAATAAATGCATTGATCGGCTATGTTCTCTTTAAAACCAAAAGATCAAACAATTTAATGGAATTTGAAATACCACCTCGTGCTTGCTTGCTTTAGTCCATAAATTGCCTTGCCAAGTTTGCAAACCATATGCTTTTTTCTCTACTTTGCAAACCCTTTGGGTTGCTTCATAAAATTTTCTTCTTCAAGTTCACCATTCAGGAAAACAGTTTTTACATCCATTTGATGTAAAAGTAGGTCATAATGATGCGGAAAGAATTTTTGGTGGAAACTGGAGAAAACATCCCAGTCTAGTCAATTCCCTCCCTTTGGGTGAATCCTTTTGCTACCAATCTAGTCTTAAATCTTTCGATTCTTCCATCTTTATCCTTCTTTGTTTTAAATACCCATTTCGAGCATACCAATTTCTGGCTCTTGTGAGGTTCAACTGATTCTCATACTTAATTATTCTTCATGCTTTCGAGTTCATTCAACATTGCTTCCTTCTATTTGTCTGCATTCTGACTCTCCATAGCTTCTTTAAAACTTGTTGGATCAGCTTCATCTCTAATGTCAAAATCTGCTTCTTGTAATTGCACATAATCTGAATTTGTTGTGGATCTTCTTGGTCTGTAAGATCTCCTTGGTTGCACTGGTTCTTGTGGATTATCTAGCTCAGGATTCTCGACAGCTTGTTCTTGTTGATAAACTGGTTCTTCAAACTCAGGTGGTTCCAATACAGTTTCACTTAAAAGAATCAAGGGTGTAACATCTTGTTCATCATTCTCGAGCACAACTACATCACATTCTTCTTCGAAAATAAAATCTTCATTCCTAGTGGCATTCTCCTCATGCTCTATAAACTTTGCACAACCAGTCTCAACAATTCGGGTATCATAATTTGGATAATAAAATCTAAAACCCTTTGACCTTGTGGGATAACCTATAAAATGACAGCTAATCGTTTTAGGATCGAGCTTCTTCTCTTAAGGGTTATAGATTCTAGCTTCAGCCTTGCAACCCCATACATGAAGATGTCGCAGGTTAGGCTCTCTATAAGTCCAAATTTTGGAAAAATGTCTTAGGTACGGAGTTACCATCCACTCTATAGTTTGTTGTTTTGATCGTCTCTCTCAAAAAGCGTAGGCAAATCAGTTTTGGAAATCTTGCTAAGAACCATGTCCTTCAAAGTTCGATTTCTTCTCTCAGCCACACCATTCTGTTGCAGAATTCCTGGTGTTGTGTACTGAGCAGCGATTCCATTTTCTTACAGATACCTAGTA